AACATTTCCAAGGGTGATGCATACTTTCATCAGCACCATAAGTCTCCTATTCTTTTGGTACAGAACCAGTGGTGCATCTTACCCAGAGAAAGACATTTTAAAAAATGAAGTTTCCTGTAAATTTCGTCAATGTGACATGAAAAGGTTTTACAAAAATATTTATCCTGTGTCTCAAGGTTCTACGAGTACCGTTGTTCTGTACTCTTCCTGTAGGCGACAATTCAAGGAAACCCTCAAAGTGCATGAGGTCAGAGAATGGTGTGAAAAGTAAGATAAGTGGAGACAGATAAGCAGGGATTAATGCTGTACTCAAGAGAGGGCCATAGCAATCAAATTAAACTGCCAATCAAGCAAATGTCATCAGCACCAGCAGTAGCCTGAGCAGATACAGGTCAAGCTACCAAATATCTTCAGAGTAGAGGCAGTGTGCAGAATTCTCAGAATGCTTGCAACTCAAGTAGGTCAGGGCTGAAATTTAGAGGGCCCCTTATAACACCACAGTCTGAAGCTGTTCACACAGAGCCTATTGACAAAAATATCATTTAACCTGAATATTGAGCCTCCACAGGAATGCTCACACAACTGTTGGCGCATTTGATCTGCACTGATAAATGACACAGGACATATTTAGGAACATCGCTGAATACAATTTCAAAAAATCTATAAACAGTTATAGGTTACACCTGACCAATTCCAAAAAGCATTACCAAACAGCTTCTGCACATGTCCAAAGCATTCATATGGGTTGTAAGGCCCTTTACCAGTGTGTTCCAAATTATGAAGAAATGCTAAGTCTGATGGTTTATACTCAACCTTAGGAATGTTCTCTGGAAAACAATTGCTAAACTCAAGTTCCACTTGTTGGGCCTTCTTGGGACTTTCAGCTACATCTCATGATCTGTAGTGTGAGTCATCTTAAAAAGTAAAGAAAATATTATTTACATATGCATGACTGGAAATATAGTAATAAAAACAAACTCAGTGTCAGTAAATAATTGAACGGTGTGTGCCAGTGGGCTGTGAGGACAGGAAGAGGAGAAAGCAGTCTGCATTCTTGTTTAATGGTAAATCCACATACCTTAACAGTCTGTCAAACAGGTTTTTTTTCTCCATGTAAATAACATTTTTCATTACAAAATACAATAAAACAGAATCAAAACAATGTTGATGTGAGACCAAAGAGAATTTGATCATTCAAGCTGTTCCTCAGTCTGATGGTCTGGTTGGATTATTACCGGACACTACGTGGATAACAGTAAAAATACAGCATGACTACTCACAAAAACAAATAGTCAAATCCCAGTAAAAACTAATTATTTACCAAGTTCCTAGTTAGAATAACAACAAAATATGCAGTGGCATTTTAATACCAAACATAGTGTATGTGCAATTAATAAAATATAACACAGGAGCACATTTGTACTCCATCAGACATAAAATGAATGGTCAGTTAAAAGTAAACGGTATTAAATAATCCCACAACAAACAAACAAACAGCTGTTAACTGAAACAATTAAAATAGGATTATTATTGACAACAGGCTGAATTCCATAATAGTGAAACAGGGCATAAGATAGCACCATTCAACCTCTTTCCTTGAAAATGATTGAGGCCTTTATGTTAACGCACACACATACACACTGACACATACGCTCCAAAACAATGTAAAGAAAATGGCTCACATGGTAATGATGATATTTGTCTGACAGCTGATAGCTGGGATCGTTTGGCCTCTCGATTATGAGATCTCCAGCTTAAAGCAGTAGGAGGACGTAGCCTTAGGTGTACTTTTATTTTAAAGAACACTCGACTGAACAGCAGTGTCTCTGCTGCATTTGTAACTCACGCTGGTTTTGACCCATGTTACGACTTATGCACAAAAGTATGCAAGGTCACTCAGCATTGGATCTTGTTACATCAAATTAGATACTGCAGGTGCAATGAACAGATTTCAGCTTCTGACTGCTCCAGGTAGTTAACTGGTAAAGAACTGCAACATCTCCCTGTCAATATGAAAAGTTTTAAGTGCCTCAGCCAACAAGCCATGGTGATCTGGTGAGAAGTTAGAAAGAAAATACAATTGAAAAGTTATTGATAAGTTGATTTTTAGGTAATTGGTCACATTGTACATGTCATTCTAACCACAGTGTGTGCCCGACTGATGTGATCCAATTAATCTGAGAGCAATCCCATTGCTTTATTCTTTATACATATTTGCAAAGCCTGATTACGTGCGTGTATGTATTGTTCAGATCAGTGTGCTGGCCAGATTTTGAGCTCCAGGACAGTGGCCCTTAAGCTTCTTGGAGTGTGACACCTTTTTGAAGATGAAATAATTTCACAAATGTGTATGAGAGCAGCTCAGCTTAGTTGAGTCAATATACAGAGACACAGAAGCAAATGTCATCAGTCAGAATAAGGGTTTAGGCTACATTATGAGTCCACAGCTTGCTCTGCACGATTCTATTTCATAGTAACATATTTTATCATCCTTTCTAATTTCCATGGGAAACCTTACATTTTCCAGGGGGTCAAAATATTCAGTTCTAGAGCATGTGTACAGGCACAAGAAAATGCATTACATGTGAAGTGGGAATCTGGCTCTAAACTCTAAAATAATTATATTTTAATAACATTCTTGTGCTAGTTAATGGATAGCTGTAAGGTAGCGCGACAACTTTTATTGTAATTAAAATGTTAAAGTGCAGAAGCTTTTCTGGTGGTGTTTTTGTAAATCAAAAGATTCAGGTGCATTTCCACCACAGGAAGGACAGGAGGAGTGTCAAACCTAATTTGCATATGCCTGAAAAAACTGAGACAAACTACACTGAGACTGGTGATCTGGCCGACTGAGACACACATTGTACATGCGACTGTGTTTGTATCTGGTCTTTTTCTGGATACGAGACATTTGAAATAAAAAAGTGCCTTTGTCAAATAAGATGGTGAAATATACTATGGACAAAAAATCTTGTGTAAAAAGGTTTGATTTGTCTACATAATTACTTTTAATATTTCTGAATATTTATGTGCACTAGCTATGAGTAAATAGCTCATCTCTAAAGGTCTCTAACAGAAGCAGTCCTGCTACTGAGCAGACTCATGTTCATTGCTATGTTCACACTCGTCACATGTTGTCATGATGCACATGGTCAAGTTGACGACGACATCTGGCCTGGGGGGTCAGTTACTGCTCAGACTGACCTCCTCCTTCTTACAGGCCTAACAACTACACTTACACACATGATTTTGCACTGAAATGCACAGTTAATCAAACTTGTGATAACAATATTAAAACTGAGTAATATAATTAGCAAGAAATGATTTAAATCCATCAGCTGGACTGCAAAGAAAACATGACCACAGACCGTTAGAATTGACAAGTTTCAACCATTTTCAGCTACATTAGCAATCCAAACTGACCCGTGGATCAGTGGGTCTCTGATCATTAGCTGGGCTGATCTACTGTAATCCTACAGTATCTCACCGTGGCTCCCGATCATACATGTACATTATTACAGAAAGCCTGATACTTAAGTATCATAATTTTACTTACATAAAAACTTTACCAGTTATTTGAAATTGCACCAATTACCTATAACACAAAAGTAAACAATACAAAGGAAAGGATAATTAAGGGAGACATGAGAGAAGACTCTAATTCCATGAATTTGTTAAACCTGTCAGATGTCTGCTTTAAAATCAAGCACGTTTGTCATTTGTCAGTTTCTGTGCAATAAAGCTCACCCATTGTGGTTTCTCATATTTCCTTTTTTTTTCTTTTCTTCTTTTTTTTTTTTAAAGCTTAATGAGCTCCTTTTAAATATACACCTACACGTTCTTGCTATTTTCTCTTTTAAATACAAAAGGTTTTTTTTTTCCTTACAACATTTAACAACATTAAAAACATTTACAAAGGAGGAAAATAGGTACGTTTGGTCATTAGCTCTTGTGCAGTATTTTCTTGGCATAAAAGTCCCTACAGGTTTCACAGCAGCGCTGATACCACCTCATGTCCTGACAGAGGTTCTTCTCTTGGATTACGCGACAGTATACCGTCCACTGGTCCCCCATGCACTTGTAGGTCAGAGCAGCTGTGGGGTGAGGGTGGGGGATGAAGAGACAGGCAGTAAGTTCATTTTCAGGTGCGATGGGTTGTGAACTGTGCAACAAAGTAAGTGAGATCACATCATTTGTGTGTACACTATTTATAAAATTCTAACCATGTTTGTTCAGTTTTTAGGCAGTACCCTACTTTTTATCTGATATTGCAAATATCACATTGCATATTGCAAACCGTTCCCTGCTGTGCTGCTATTGTTTTGAACTAGCACTCCTATTGCATTAACAATATAGTGCTGCCTTCACCTCATCTGTCTTTGTGATACAGTAACTCATTATGGCCACTTACAGTACTGAACTATAACTCCTGCCCCTTGTCTATAGCAGGAAATGAGTTATTTAATAATGGACCACAAGGCGAAGTAGCACAAGCTGATCCTGTCCTTGTTCCTGAGATCTAAGAAGGCGTCACCCCAAAGTAGATTTTATGCTTTATTTTTTATTCTTAAGTGGCAGGTCATTTTTGTGATTTACTTATTTATGTTATTTTACTTGACAGATTAAGTAGTTTTGTTGTGGTCTTCAAAATATTTGGTAGTTGTCTCCTGTCTGCTCATTATGACTGACACTTGATCTCCTCAGGCTGTATCCCTTTACTAGGATACCTCACACCTGCCTTCTTCCAGCCTCCCCCGAAAGGATGGCCTTGACCAACTCCTACACACCACTGTTCACTGCCAAAATCTTAGAAAATGCTGTCTCATTACAATATTTATACACGCTTTTAGATGGGGTGTATTTTTGAAAAATGACAATCAGATTTTTACTAAATATAATAGCATAAATGCCCCTATTGAAAGTCAAAAGTGCGTTCCATTTGAATGCAGCAGCTGGAGACTTCCCCATTCACGTTGTACTTGACATGAATGCAGCATTTTACTCTGTGGATCAGACTATCCTGATAAAGAAACTCCAGCATTGGGGTTAGTGTACCTGCATTCCAGGGGTTAGAACCCCCAAGGTTAAATTTCAGGCCCAATTTTATTTACTTTTAATATACTTCCTCTTGAGCACATCACACACAGACAGCCCTCCATACAGTCCATATCTCTCCATATCTCTGATACTGTGGGTTCTATTATTATTAGAAGCTGCAGAAGTTTGTTTGCAAACCTACAACTCATCACCACTGGACGACTGTAATGGCCCTGTAACAGGTGTAAATCAGAAGTCATTCAACAAACTCTACCATGTACGTACAGAATGTAGCTGTTAGAAAAGTTAATTAGAGCCAGAAGAAACAGGTCACATTATGCCTTTGGATTCCCTGAGCAATGTGGGCTCTGTGATGACTACTTAGGACTTACTTTTTGCTTTGTTTTTTTCTCTTATAACACACATAAAATCTAAGTGTCTAATATAAAATCTAGTGCTTTAGTTATCATCTATACTCTTACCAATATGCAAACCATTTTTTCCTTGAAAAACGTAAACTGAAGTTGTGATGAGTGTCTCACCTAGCCTAGGGGAGGTGATGGTGTTCACATTAATTTTCTCATTGCAGGTACCATGGTGACATGGGCGGTAGGTTGGCGGTCTCAGTGTCACAGGGCAGTCGTTACCATGACGACCAGTCACTTTGTGCATACACTGGACCACACGTGACTGCAGGCCCTTCCCACAGGATGACGAGCACTGAAACAACCAGCAAAAGGTGTCAGATTTCACTGTGCATGCTGTGGTTCTCTTAAAGAAGAAAAAAGAAAAGTTTGCATTTTTAGAGTTTTTTTCTTTTCAGTCTAGGTGACATTCAGAACAACTTTGACAATTCAGACATGGAAAAGAAATCACAGTATCTGAGAACCAAAGTAAGACTTCATACTATATTGTCTGCTACATTCATGTTGTGTAGAGTTTTTGAAGTTTAAGTTTAATCACTCTCTAAGTCTGTTCATGAAGCTTCACCATGTAGTGACTGTAAAGAGCAGGTCAATATCTGATATGATCTTCTTAGCTTAAACCCATTGTGTCAAACCAAAATTTTCCGCCCACATTTCTATTTCAGAGACACGTTTGAGTGTTTTCTGTCTCGACAGCTGTTTCCACATTTACAGAGAGCTGTGCACATGAAGAATTTCTTTTTTCATTGGCAATACCCCGGGTATTGGTCCTGGGTCCAAACGACTTCTTTGGTTGTCAACATTTGCACAAGGTTTCTGTGAGAAAGTGAAAAGCTCTGCTTTGTTTTCATTCACTCTCAGGAAGGCTTCCCATTAGCTAAAATTGTCTATTCGTTGTTGTTCCAACGTTGACCACCAAGCAATGCCATATGGACCCAATCTACTATCATTTCACCTACAAGCATGCTACTCTATGGAGTGGATGCTAAAAGAAAGGATTTAAAAAGATCCTTCTACACACAATAGACATAGATGTTGTGGTTCTAGCCAATGTGCATGTGTCAGAGCTGGACACTGAGGAGCTGTGACTGGCAAAATTTTTTATCCCGTGCTTTACTGGTAAACACTCTAAAAACACCAACAAAAGGACGACTATCTCCAGGCAATGGGATCCCAGTGATATCAAGAAGGCCACTGAATGCTCAAAGAAGACCATCTTCAGATCATGGGAGTGAACCCAAAGGAGCTCCATCCAAGGGCTCATGTGGACAAAATGTATTGTGCCTTTTTTATATAAAACTATTCATAAACTATATGATTATTATTCATGATAATTACTACTATGAAATAAGTAAGTTATGAACGCAAATGCAAATGAACTGTTGTTCTGTACATTTGTTCAGACAATACAAGTGAAAATACAGAAATTCTGCTTCAAGGTACCACTGACTTTGTAATGTAACATTTTACTAAAAACTTACAAAAACATTTTAAAAATGTGAAAACCTTTTCATTTCTGCATCAGAGTGAAAAAATGTTTCTATTGTTTCTATTTATTTGGGCTTTATAGGGTTAATTTCATCTACTGAATTGCTGCTGATAATAAAGCAGTTTAAACCTGACATTTGACCTGTGATTCGTGTCTGCTTCAGGGTTCTCAGACCAGTCATGACACTACAGATCTGTACTACAAGGTTACTGGGGTCACCAAGCCAATGCTCGTTGTTTTCCTCATTGGTTTAGAAATCATAGATTGTTCGTTTGAGGAATATGGTTATCTCCAGAAAACTATGGTTATTAGGTTAAATGAAGCTGGATATTGTGATATTAACCAAATGTTTTTCAATAAGATACAAAATTGTGTTTCAATCTTGTAGCCACATTGGTGTAGCGTGAGCTAAGATGTGCACACACAAATATAAAAACATTAAGACTACAGGTAGAGTTGCAGCAATAACAGTCATAGTTTTCCAGACATGTCATTGTCGCTATTCATTTATTCAGTTTTTGCTATTAGCAGTGATACAGTAATATGATGATACTGAAACATATAATTCATGGTCCATGCACTAAAGCAATGCCAGAGGTCTTGGAGCCCTGCCTGGTGGTCTGTGTAGTGAGGCTCCTGGAGCTATGTCTGCTACATCAGATCACAAAATAACATTAAACGTTAATAACACTATAATCCCAACCATGTAATGGTGCTCACAGGGCATAATTTGATTTGCAAACATCATTACACTCTTAAATGAGTTTAGCCATTTCTCCACAGACACAAGAAAACAATAATAAGAGGAGCTGCACAAATAGAAAGTACTGCTCTGACGAACAGTGTGGGCCCAGAGGTCCAAGAACTGCCCATAGAACCAATCATCACATGTTTGAAGCTACTGATAAGACTTAAAATGTTATTGGATGCCTAACACTACAAACAATGCTATTTCAAAAATTGTATAAAATATTGTCAAGGTACCCTTGGGCAGTGGCATTCTGTAAGTGAAGAACCAGAATGTCTGCAACAGTCATCAGAGGGATTTCACTTTATAAAGCAAGTCAGTCGGTGGAAAACGGTTATTATGAAATAAATGGTTGAACTGACGGAATAAGGGTACGGCGCAATACACAGAGCTGAATATCAGTGTAACAGGACCCCCATAGGTCACACCCTTAAGATGTTTGGACAACTCAAAGCACTGAAACAAGCAATAAAATCATTGTTGGATTTGATGTTGTAGATATATGTAGATTACATACAACATTAAGATTGTATGACATTAGGTAATGAAAATAAAGTGTAATATGCTTAGTCTGTTATGTTAAGTTCACACATGCATAACAGTACTGAAACTTTCTAGATATTACCCACAGGAGCTATATATAAAATGTCAAGGTCAACATCAGTCACTGGACATGAAGCAGATTTTACCCTGTCAGCTCTCTTGTACAAAGTCTTTGTAATGTCCAGCTGAGCCCATGTATAAATAAAGCAGGTAATTGTTTAGAGAATGAGCAGTGGGTGAGTGTGAGTGTCACTCTGGCATCTACCCTGACCTAAACCAAAAACAGTACTTCCAGCAGTGAGAAAACTTCTGACATACACTCTTGTTGTGTCAAAAGTGTTGTTGTGTTGTGTTGCTGGTACATGTGTGTAAGAGCTACATGAGAAAACACTCTTAATTGAGTCTAAAGCCCGATTTACACATTACTACTGTTATCTGGGGACCTTGTGATTTAGAATTTACCAACGTACACATGATTAAGTCAACAAATAACCTTTGTAAATATAAATTACTCGAGGTTACTAGGTGATACTAGTCCTAGGAGAATAGATCCACAGGATTTGAAGAAAGTTGTACCTTGGACCAGTCTCCAGTTTTCCATTCATAGCACTTGGAGTAGTCCTCACAGAATTCCTCTTGAGTTGGTTGGGACAAAGGATCACAAAGACCTTGAGGGTTTGTACACGACACTGTCCGTTTGCGAACACCTTGACCACAGGATGATGAACACTAGACAAAGTGACAGAAAAATAAAAAAAAGTGGATAGTAAAGAGTGAAAAACAATGAATGTTTTTACTGCTTTGCTACTGTACGAAGTTGAAGCACACTTGAATTGTTAACAGTAGAGAAAAATGTCACTTGTCACTACGTGCCAAAAGGAATCCAGGTCAGGCTCTTTTTCCAATTTCCAAAAGCATCTTAAGGCAAAGATAGTTATTATATCAGGAGCGTTGTAATTTAACACCCTCTTTACCCAGTTTCCCCTACCTACTCATAAAGGGCTAAAAGCATTTGAAAAAGCTCTGGAACCTGCATGAAGAAAAAAAAAAACAAAAAAACAGACCAAAACATATCTTTAAACTCTTCTTTGTAATTTCTTACTGAGGTGCTTCCTATGTTCAATATGAGCTGTAAACTGTAAGAATCATAAACTTTCTACTTAAGTGCTGTTTGATGCAAAATGAGCTGGAAAAAACGACTAGAAACAGTAAATCCCTGTAAAGATGCGTCATTGATTTATTCCTATAGGAGAATGGCTTGTTCTCTGAAGAAGAACTTTTCACTTCCTAAATAAATCATCACTGCATTTGCTACATTTCAAATCACACTCATGACAGAGTAATAGAAAAAGTGCAAAAAGTTTAAGACGGGAACAAAAAGAACAAAGCAGGTACTGCAAAGAAAAGGCTGTTGGCTTAGAAGTGGCCGCTGGAGGGCAGAGCTTCACATCTGTGCCTCTCTGGACACAGCAGATACATGTTCTAAACCACTGTATATAATCACTAGGAAGTGTCAAGGTGTGAAAGGTACAGATGCAACCAGGTCAGGCCCAGCAGTTACAGGCACAATCAAACCATGGACTCAAGTTAAGGATAGCGTCATTATGTCAAGAAAAGCATTGTTGTACCTTGGCACAGTTAAAAAAATAAAAGATTGCATCTACAGTGAACGCACTGCAAAGGAAGCACTTAAGTGACCCCAACAAAACACAGTCACAATGTTGGGTGACTAATAGGTGCATGTTGGGTGTGACAAAAACGTTCATGGTGGATTTTCCAACTGTATAGTTTGATCCTGTTCTATGCTCTTTAATTCATGTTGCTGATTAACACTTGTTGCACCAGTTATGGTGTCATAGTTCTAAAGAGATTTAACCTTATTTCTACAACTGATAATCAGGTGCATGCAAAGGAAAGCGAAAAGTTGTCTACATGTATTTAGAGAGCCTTCCTCTTTATTCAAATGTAGGACAGTAATATTTACACAGACTTTAACTGACACCAATGTTTTTACTTGAGTAAAATTCCATTAGGCATATTATTTTTACTAGAGTATATATTGTAAAAGTACATTTTAGTCCCCCGACTCTCTGACTGTGTGTGTGATGTACCTTGGACCACTCTGAAGCCTCCCACACTGTGAGGCAGAGGCGGCCCTCACAGCCCTGTAGAACAGAAGGCTTTCCTCCTTGGCAGTACAGGTCCCTGGTGTTGATGAATGAGCCATTCTGTAGGTGATAAACACAAACCACCTCCCTCTGCTGAAGGCCTTTACCACATGTGACAGAGCAGGATCCCCACTCACCTGTCACCCACCTGTAAAAAATATTAACACAGTTTATGAGAGTTTAGAACCTACATCTATTTGCTTTTGTCTGAATAGGGGACATGCTTGACTGTTAAATGACATCTACAGCATCTGTAACACTTGAGCATCAACAAAACTTCTGAGTCTCTATTTCAGAGAACTGCATTTAGATCAGGATCCCATGGGACTTAATGCAAATCTCATAGGAATGGGTGGTTTACACTTTGTTGTGGGGGATCAAAAAAGAAACTTTGGACCCTGAGATTCAGTGCTAACCAAAAGGATGGCGTCAACAAATAAAGTTGAATAAGGAGTCTGACATATGGGTACATGTCTCAATTGTTTCTGACAAAGATCAAAAAGAACTGCACTTTGTTGCGACAAATGTGCAAGTGTTGATATACAACAGGCACAAACCTGATGCCACTGGTAAAAGGAAGCTCTCCTTAATAGATAAAGCACAAGAGTATAGGATACTAGGAGGAAATGTATAAAACGTGTACTTAATGCCCGAGAATGACTAATTCTTATGAATGTAATAAAAAATTTGATATGTTAAAATATGTAAATACGTATGTCTTTATTAATACTACTCTACTAAAATAACATTTTCACTGTGGGATGTGAGAGGACACAAAAGCCAATGGAACTCTATATTATGCAGCTGTGAATGGACTGCTGTATGTAAGAGCAGGCAGCAATGAGTGATGATGGTCAGAAATCCTACATTAGTTGTAGAGAAAACCACCAGGACTCTGCTCTACTTTATTACCTATTTTCAATTAGAAAGCAATCAAATGAATCTCTGCTAATATTTGTAGACTGTACACAGCATGCAGATGGGCGACATGAACCCCTGCAGAAGTGAAGCTTAAATGTCTATAGCCCCCTGATGGCCAGTTGCAAAATATGTAATAAATCCCATTCCCTATCCGAGTTAATGAGAAAGAACATCCCCTCAAATAATTTTTCTGTAAATGTGGTTTGGCCATATCAAAGGTCGAGTGTGCAATTCTGGAGAGAGATATTTAACATTTAGTTAGTTAGCATGTGTCAGATGTGCTATTTATCCTGTTCTAACTGTACAACTTCATATGTCCACCAGATGTTCTGCCATTTATCAGAGACAATTGTATTAGCTGCTCTTTGCAGTTTGACAAATTTGACAAGTGTGTGTTTATAATAAAACATGTCCTTGTGATCAGTACAGAATCTTACATGGTTACTTTTTCAATTATGAGTATTTCTCACAATGGCTGTCTGATAGTGACATCCTCACAAGTATATCATTAAAATAATTAGTTAGTTCTGAAAAACATGACTGATTTATTTGCTTAAATTTCGGTATCCACCTTGAAAGTAAAAACAACTGCCGAGTGTTGAGTGTATGTATGTGTGAGCGTTTGTCTCACCGGTACTGGCAGGGGTGAGAGTTGCAGAGTCGTACTTGGGGCTGTGGCCGGTTCTCAGGCTGACAGTAACTATCGTTGACCACCTCCATGGTTTTATTGACTATCCTAATACAGGAAACTACAGTCCTCCTTTCACCTGCACATACACAAACATACACATATATACACACAAACTGTATGTCAGCACTACACATAATCTAAGGGGTTATGAAACCCATCCAGACAGAATAAAGACAATAAAGAAATCAGCCATTTGAGTTTGTACCCCTAATTAAAAGACTTTTATTTTACAATTGTGACTGCTGAGGTACTAATACACACTGGCCAGCAACAAAATTAAAACCACAGACAGGTAAAGTGAATAGCACTGATGATCTCAGTGCAATGTAGTGTTCTAAAGGGAAGCACTGGTGCTGCCATTCATCTGGATAATATTTACATGGTGACATGTACCCCCTACCTAAATATTGCTGCAAACCAAGCTAACCACCCCATAGCAACAGCATTCCCTGAGAGCAGCGTTGGTCTCTTCCAGCCAGATATGGCTCAAGTAACACAACAAGAAGCCCAAACTGTTGACCCGACCCTCAACCTCCCCCAAACCCAATCTGATACAGCATCGACAGGATGCATCACAGCAGTCCGGATTCACATATCTCTTTTCCTCCAAGAAGAACCAGTTGCTAGTTCCTTGCTCGTGCTAGTGCCAGTGCTTAGTTGGTTCAAATCATCCTCGTTCTTATCTCTGGCCCAGCAAAGAGTTAGTGCTTGCTAAGCACCAGTTTTGAGAACCTGGAGCTGGTGCTTCGATGGTGGAAACACAAAGAACTGGTGCTAAGTCAAGCTCTGTCTCCAAACTAGCACTGGTACCAGTTTGGTGAAAAAGGGGTAACAGAGGCCCCATCACACAAGCCACAGGAGTCAAAGAATCTGCTGCCAACATCCAGGTACCAGACACCACAAAACATCCCTAGAGGTACCTTGTTCATGCCCCGATGATCTAGAGCTGTTTTGCAAGCATGAGGGGGGCCTAATTAACATTAGGATGGTGGTTTCAATGTTGTGGTTTTTCAGTGTGGTTTTCTGGAGAGCTACACTGGCTGGCAGAGAGGAGTGTTGGTGCTTCAAGAGGTTGGGTAGCCAATACTGAAGTCTCTAACAATAAACTGTAGCATTGGTTACCCTGTTAACTCAGTTGTACGTTTATTGAACTTGATTGGTTACTTACTACAATGTGTGCTCTGGATGTCTCATTGTACTTCTATGTGAGATCCCTTACAGTTAAACTCAAATCCACCAATAAGAGATAAGTGGAGCAGTGATGGGTTTACCCTTTGCTGCTTGGCTCATTACTAATCCGTAAGCACTTGTCCTTGAATCCACAATAACAGCAGTAGACTGTAACTACAAAGTGCTCTTCTCACATACAGGTAATCAAAAAAATATTTTGAGCAGCAATTATCATGCACTGAAAAGATAAAAAGACCTGGTCAGGAAAGTGTTAGCAGGGTGCCTGACAATTAGAACTGCAAAGTGCTCTGTGTGTCCCACAGAGGAAAGCCTGCTCTGTTTAATATGCTGTTAAATTGGCCATGTCAATGATTTGATGATTTGTCAGATGAGGCCATATTTTGCTAATCTAACACTGCTTTTGGCAAACTCGTGCAGACTGAAGCCTCAGTTGCCTTTTCTTAGCTGACAAGAGTGGAATCAACTGTGGTCTGCTGGTGATTGAGCCTGTCCACTTGAAGGTGCACACTACTGAGTCACTTCCGCCTCCCTGTGAGCTTTTACCAGTCTGGCCATTGTCATTTGACCTTCCTCAATAACAAGGTTAGTTTGCTTACATATATGCTTTTTAAAACCCTTTCATACTATTATTTGTACTGTTTTTGCACCATTCTCTTAACTTTGGAAACCATGTTGTGGGAACAGTTCACAAGACTTATGCTATTGAGATACTGGGACCTGCAATTCTTACATTGTCCACGTCACTTTAACAATTTATTTTTTGTCAGTCTGGTGATAACATTTTTAACAACACACTGATGTCTGGTGGCCTAAAAAACTGATTATATGCTACTGCATAGTTCGCTGATTAGATGCACTGTTACGATAATTCTTGGGTTCTTGCTCACTTCCCCATCCAAGGCCCTTCTGGTTAGGTTACTCGACTTGGTAGGATGGACAACTCCAGGAAGAGTCCTTGTGTTTCTTCTATTTCACAGCTATTGAAGCCACTGTGTTCCTGGCAACACTTTCTGTGATCTCTAAGCAGGGGCCAAATATATCTTCAATGTTGAAGTGTCTGCAACAAACTGAAAGCTTCCGGCTTTAGAGGATGTTGACGTTGCCCCACTGTAAGTCTTCAAAACTCCCCCTATTTTGCTTACTAATCTGTGACTCCCCAGGAGCTATACACTGAAACTGAATGCAGCGCAAACTGTGTTCTGTGAAAGCCGCTTTAGCCACTACAGTTAAGACTAAATTCAAGTTCTAGACATATCTCAAGGACAAATTAAGCAAACACGATGCTTTTGACCACATTTTTTAGTGCCACAGAAAAAAATCTGAATGCTTCTGGATATAAGAGCTTTAATTTTTTTGAAAATCAAAATTGCCTAAAGTATGTTTCCACTGCAAATCAACAACACAGTACAATTCATAGACAGTCAAGAGGTCTGACACAACAAATTTATTGTATATTGATTAGAACTGGAAAGGCAAAATATATGTAGCATTCACTATAAGCTCTTGTAAGACCAATAACAACACCCCCCTCTTAAGATTGTCTATACTAATTGCTGTTAGGATGTTGCACAGCACAGTCACATGCAAAGACAAAACCTCTCCCCTCCAAAAAAAAAAAGAAAAAGATAATCATGATTTAGGATCCAGCTTATCACAAAAAAACAACATCATAATGTTATCCAGGACAAGAGGGCAGGTGCCTCTGGATTCAAAGTCAGTGAAACTCTAGGGAGAAGCCACTACCAGCTCAGCTCACCTCTTTTTAATGTGGATTAGACTTTATCTGCTTGACATCCCAAGTACAGTTAGCAGCACACTGCGTAATATCAATCTCATCATAACTGCCATAGCAGGGAAAACTATGCTTGTTGTAGTTGCCCCTTGTCAGGGGGACCTGCAACAAGCATAGAGTAATCAGTGCCATCTATGTGTCCATCTGTGAACAGTCTCTAGCTCAAGTGCTAAGGTCTAAGAAGTTGATAACTTACTAGTAAACCTTTAAAAAAAAAGCTATATACCTTCAAAAGGGTGGATTTATAGTATTTTGTGCAGATAAGCAACCATGTTGGGGCTGTCCGTTGGTGATGTTACATTTGAACTTGGATGATATTTCAAGGTCAAACTCAAAGTCAAAAATGTTGACTTTGGCATTATATTTTTAACAACATGTACCGTACACATGGATTGTACCTGTTTCACCTTGGACAACCAGACAACACCTATGTGGTGGTAAATTGGACGGAATAGTGGTTTACTGGGGCTGGCAAGGGCAACTATATCCCTCTACTGAGGGCCCTCTAGTATTTAATCTATTCTTAGGAAGTGTGCTGTGCTTGAATCCCATGGTATAACAACAAGAACTTGGATTTATGATGGGGAATTGATTTAGAACACATTTACAAGTGGGAACAAAGCTTCCCTATTCTTATTTCAAAGGAAGTGTTTGTTTTATAGTACCTTCACAAGGTAACATTTGCGAAAGTTTTGGCTTAGTTTTATATAACTGCTACCAACCAAAAAATAAAGAGATCTTACCTCCTCCACATTGAACAGTACAGTCTTGCCAGCTGCTGTGAGTCCAGATGTAGAGATACTCTGGTTCCCTTTGTCCCTCACTGTTCCTGTCCTGAGTTTTGTTCAGAGACACTGTGTACTCATAGTGGATCCCATAGCTCTGGTCATGAAAGAGCAGCACCTGGGATCATGTCACAGAAGAACAGAGAAAAAATACAATGCTGTGAAGAAGTATTTGCCCCCATCTCATTTAAAAAAAAAAAAAATTTCACCAACTTAAATGTTTAGGACCATCAAACAAATTTAAATATTAGACAAAGATAACCAAAATAAACACAAATGCAGTTTTTAAATGAGGATTTGACATTTTAAGGGGAAAAAAGCTATCCAAAACTACCTGGCTATATGTGAAAAAGTAATTGCCCCTCTTGTTAAATCAAGAATTAACTGTGGCTAATCACATTTTTTGGAAAGCTGAGTTAAATTTCACTGACCACACCCAAGCCTGATTACCTCCAGACCTGTTCAATCAAGAAATCACTTAAATATACCTGTCTGATAAAATGAAGTCAGCCAAAAGATCTCAAAAAGCTGCAACAAAACACTGTGATCCAAAGAAATTCAAGAACAGATAAGAAATAAAGTAATTGACATCTATCAGTATGGAAAGGGTTACAAAGCCATTTCTAAAGCTTTAGGACTCTAGTGAACCACGGTGAGAGCCATTATCCACAAATGGAGAAAACATGGAACAGTGGTGAACCTTCCCAGGAGTGGCCGGCCGACCAAAATGACCCCAAGAGCACAGCGACGACTCATCCAAGAGGTCACAAAGGAACCAGGACAACATCTAAAGAACTGCAGGCCTCCTTGCCTCAGTTAAGGTCAGTGGTCATGACTCAACAATAAGGAAGAAACTGGGCAAAAATGGCATCCATGGCAGAGTTCAAGGCCAAAACCACTGCTGACCAAAAAGAACATAAAGGCTCATCTTACTTTTGCAAACAAACATCTGAATGATCCCCAAGACTTCTGAGAGAATATTCTATAGACTAATGAGGCAAAAGTTGTTTTTGAAAGATGTGTGTCTTGTGACATCTGGTGTAAAAGTAACACAGCATTTCAGAAAAAGAACATCATAGCAACAGTCAAACATAGTGGTGGTGTGATGGTCTGGGGCTGCTTTGCTGCTTCAGGACCTGGACGACTTGCTGTGATGGATGAAACCATGAATTCTGCTCTCTACCAGAAAATCCTGAAGGAGAATGTTCAGCCATCAGTTCATGACCTCAAGCTGAAGCACACTTTGGTTCTGCAGCAGGGCAAAGATCCAAAACACAGCAGCAAGTTGACTTTTGAATGGCTTAGAGAAAACAAAATGAAGGTTTTGGAGTGGCCTCGTCAAAGTCTGGACTACAATCCAACTGAAATGCTGTGGCATGACCTTAAAAAGGCTGTTCATGTTCGAAAACCCTCCAGTGCTGCTGAATTAAAACAATTCTGCAAAGAAGAGTGGGCCAAAAGATCTCCACAGAGATGTGAATGACTCATTGCCAGTTCTAGAAAACACTTGATTTCAGTTGTTGCTGCTGAGGGTGGCTCAACCAGTTATTTGGTTTAGGGGCAATTACTTTCTCACACAGGGCCAGGTAGCTTTGATAAGTTTGAGCTATGAGCAACAAGCTGTTTTCAAAGCCAAAAGAGGCCATACAAAATATTAAGTTTTTTGGTTATTCTCTGTGAAAAAGGACTATTTAATTCTTTTAGTTTGTTATTTGCCAAAAAAAATAGCAATAACATTTTTTTTTGTTTGTTTTCAACAAGTTCTTGAAAGATTTCTAAAATATTTGTTTTCTCGTTTTTATGACAGATGGTCTAATAAATTTGTTAAGCACTGTACATCACACAAAGCCAACAATTGCCATATCTTATACTGGCTTGTCATCAGGCTGCTCAACTCTACTTCCTCCCCTGGAATAGGCTCTGGCTCCTAGCAACCCTCTACAGGACAAAGCAGGTATTGATAACAGATGGGTCATAGCTTTAACATAAATTAGCAACAGTTGATAAGGTCCCCTGCGGACTAATCCGTTTACCATCAGATGTAAGGGAGTCTTAGTGGGTCCCTTGGCAGACATTTTCTCCCACAGTCCCCTTCGAACATAGCGCACTGTGGTCCCAGCCAGCTCAAACTCCCCTGGAAGTTCAATCTTCCAGTCGCTGTTGATGGATCTCTTACTGGAGTCTTTTAAGGCTATAAGGAATACACAAGAAGTTAGAGCAAACACTGTCACGCATGATAGAATTTTTCCCACCTATTCCACTTATGTATGTCTCAGTCTTATCAAACTGATATCAGACGTTAATGCCTGGTTGTCCTTTTTAGCAAGTTTCTTTACTTATTAGTCACCTATTCCTATTATCCTATGATTATCTATTATTCTAGTTAACACGGTCATCTTTGTTGCACCAACCCACCAGAACAATGTCCTCGTATTGTGTAAATTATACCTGGCAATAAATCTGTTTCTGATTCTGATCTGTTGCATTGAGAAGTGGAACTGACATGTCTACTCTATGTTTCGAAGTTCAATAATAAACTCTACACCTGGCAATATGTGAAGAGATTGGCTCATTACTAATCCGTAAGCACTTGTCCTTGAATCCACAATAACAGCAGTAGTGTGAGGTGAATGGTTAAGCTGTTTGTATGGGTAGAGGATATGGCTAAATTCTAAAGTAACTTTTGTAAAAGATTAAATCAAAAAGAAAAACAATTACTATGAAACTGTCAGAACAGTTTGCTTCTTTCACTTCCTTCTAGATGCTTCTCTGCTCAGTCACAAAAGGTTTTAGAAAACTGAAGCCTGACTACCTTCCCACATGGCCAGAGTGTTTGAACCTGTTAGTGGTATGTTGGCTTATCAAATGGCTAAAATACATAGGGTATATTGAATACATTGGATTTGATTAATACATGAACAATGTTTTGCCTGTGACAAGGTGGGAAGTGCGACCAAATGAGAAAGTTGGTCGCAAATTATGCAGTGACGTGTGGCGTGGCTTTAACTTGAGTTCTTGCCAATGGAAAAGAAAACAGGTTCTTAGGAGGTGCAAGACTTGAACGAATTTAACACTGGGACGAGCACCAGCAACGAACTAGCACCTGGTTCTTGGTGGAAAATGGGTATCTGTGTCTGCATGGGAACTGGTAACTTACAGTGCTGTGCATAGGATACTGGCATTTTGGAGCCCAATGTAAAATGACTGTGGTTAAACAATAAAACTGTGAAAAAATGGATTTGAAGGCTAAAAAATGTGTTTGCAGCTATGCACCTACAGTGTGTGTGATAGGTGAACTGTTTTGTTGGTGATGTATTGATTAACACAGCGCATGAGTTTGGGGCTGAAAACGCTTTCTGTGCAGACGCTGTGTTCGGGCGAGACATAAAATACAGCTGCCATGGTTTGTTGATGGTTTAGTGATTTTGTTTCCTGTTTAATTTTGAAATTATCTTCCCTTGTGTGTCGTGGTTTTTATAATTTCCTGCCCTTGTGAAGGTGACATTGTTGACTCATGTACACCCGATAATCTCTCTTCACAGAACAGCCCTCTGGACTCATGAGCTACCATTAGTTATTAGTTTATTATATATCCAATTCCTAAGTTCCATCAAACTATCCCTTTATTCATTCTGCCTCCACATCTGCTGTGTATGTTTGTGTGTGGCTCCTCCTTCCTGAACACACAACAAAAACATACTTTTTCACATTTAAGGGCAATCTTTCCCTCAAAAATATTTGGAACTCATTTTGGGTAGATATGATTAGAGAAAGTACAGTATTTCTAGAAAAACCACAATGTTCTCTATTGCTTCAGCCAAATAGATGCATATAATCGTGAATGAATGTAGTAGCAGTAAAGCAGTGTAGGCTTACTGTAGACCACTGGCATCAGTTGCCCAATGTTTATAACAACACAGGACATTTGGTGTTGTCTGAAATTTAGCAGTGTGAATTGTCAAGAAATTGAAGGACCCCCTGTAAAACACAGGCAGAATTACCCAGAAAGCTATGTGAAGGTTTGTCCTCCACTACTTTGATCCTCCTAGCTCCTGCAGGGATAACCACAGCCTCGATGTAGCCTGATAAAGAGACAGAAACATGAAGTGAAAACAAATTCAAAGGCGTACAGGCATGGACACTGTTTTATCACAGATTTTCCTTTCCTCTTAGTGTAGTGAATTCATTTAATCCACCTTATCTGGTTTTTCTCTTATACTAAAGATTACCAAAACGTCACATTTTTGTTTCTCCTCTTCCAAATGCGTTACAGTAATTTCGTTGCAGTTTTTTGAGTAAATCTAAAAGTACTGTTTTTTTGTATTCTATTAATTTTCAGTACTTACTGTACAGTTAATTAAAAACACCAATACAATTCATAAAATCCCCAAATACTGATCAAACATCAGAAAGGAAAAAATGTGATATCAGTGACATTGACTATGGCTGGACTGTTGGTGCCAGATGGACTGGTGTGAGTATTTCTAAAACTGTCAATTTTCCTGGGATTTCCACACACAACACTCTCTAGAGTTCACTCAGAATGTTGCAAACAATTAATATCCAATGGGTGGTAGTTCTGCAGACAGACAGCCTAGTTGACGAGGAAGGTTAAAGCAGAATATTCAGATTAGTTTGAGCTGATAGAAAGACTATGGTGACTAACTTTACAACTGTGATGTGCAGAAAGCTTCTCAGAATACACATTGAACCTTGAGGTACACGGGCTGCTTGAAGGCAATAGAATAGTCTTGTGAATATTTCCACCAAGGGAGGCATATGGTAGGGTTGGAATGTGGTTTCAACAGTATGACTTCATTAATGTCTTCTGTCAACAGTCCATGCCACTGTCGGTGGTGGAAAGGCTTTCTTGGTATGCCCGAAAAAATCTCGAAATACTTCCCAGACCCTGGAATGAAGGGCAAAAATTCCCCCTCAGATTTAAAGTAAAAAAAATAAATCCCTTATATAATATAATAATGTTATTATTTATTTATGTATTATACATTTTTACCAATTTAGGCAATTATCCTAATCATACAATAGGCCATCATTTTGATTTCATTCAGTTAATTTAATTTACATTTCTATCTTAAACTAACACACACACGTACACAAATGTAGCTGTATGTGACTGTAGCTACTACTATGCAACGCTGTTACGGTACCTGGCAGAGGTAAAACATGAAGTCCTACAGGGATGCCTTATGGAGCCCTTACTATTTTTCATTTATATGCTGCCACTTGCTCATGTTAGCAAAGAATCTTAAGATATTTTTAAATGTTGTTGGTGTTCTGATGGTAAATTTGAATTGAACTAAATTAAAGTACTTTCGGACTTGTTTTGAAACCTTTTAAAGGTTTGGTTATTTTACACACATACATGGGGTGCAAAAAACAAAAAAAACGTTGTTGGTGTTTGCTGTCAAGGTTAAAAGAAAAAAAACTTTGCTGGCAGGACATGGAAAAAAGATGGCGGACGACTTGACCACTCTCTGTGACTAGTTTGGCAATCCATACATTAAAACTAAACATATTTGGGCTGTACCAGTTCTGAGTTGGGACACACTAAACTATAAACACAGGCTAACTTACATATTTTAACTGTAAGGTTTTGCTTTTCCTTTGCCTATTTGAAAAGCCTGTAAGGGAGTACAAAGAATACATATGAAATACATTAGTCCCTATTTATATAACATACAAAAAGGGCTTCAATAGTCCTTTAATCATTAAGCAGATGTACTTTGAGGAACACAACATCTGCAAACGCAAACTGCTTGTGTCTATGACAATAATGGAAATAATTACTTAAAATGTTCTGCCAGCCAAATGTGCAAAGTTTGAAGTAACACGGGTCAAAATAATCTGCTATAATAAGCTTATTGTATTCACGGTAGCATTACAAATGCAAATTTCTATAAAGAGCTATTCAAGATCCTGCAGACTCAAACTTTTGTTGCTTTTGGGAGAGCTGAACTCCATCTGGCTCCCCTGTAATTTGAATGCATAGAATGCAAATGGCACTGGCGTGAAGTTGGTTAATAAGTCTTTATAGGCTGCATTAGAGACTATATTTCATACTTATTCTATTGTCTGACAACAGAAACACAAAAATATGCAAATGAGATCAGCTATATTTGACATTTGGCTGCATCAAAATGTAGTTTATGTGAGCAGAGAGCAGGCGAGAAGCAAACAGACGTAACAGGCTACAATTGGCTGGAAATACATTTCAATGAAGCACAACAGCTGACACGAAACATTGTAGTGGTGACATTGCCATCAAAAATTAAAGCTGCCCACTGTTCCTCAAATGCTCGGAGTGCATATAAACCTGTGTGTTTGCTGCTACAGCCAAAAATTGAATATCTGATGCGCTTTGCTTGTGGTTGTGAGATTTTAGAGTGAGCAGAAGCAGCTCCAGAAAGCAAATACATTAAACCTGGCAGACTGCTAGATAATGGTAAATGGTCTGCACTTTGCAAAGTGACTTTTAATCTTAGCTAAGTTCTACAATGCACTTTACATTTTTTTTTCTCTTTCATGGCGGCAGAGCTGCCATGCAAGGTGCCCACTTACTATTGGGAGCAACTTAGGGTTCAGTGTCTTGCCTAAGGGCACTTTAGCACATGGAGGGGCTGGTGTTTGAATTGCCAACCCTACCGTCAGTGGACAACCCGCTCTACCACTTGAGTCATGTCTACATCAAGGAAGCTACTCATTCTGAACAACTCATTCAGAAAGCAGCAGGCAGTAAGGAAAAAAAAGAAAAGTTTGTTGGAGTCTCGCTGAAATATTCCTTAAAATGATTTAATGAAGTAATCTTACATTCATTCCTCACTATAAATGTGAATCTAGTGTGTGTTTGTTGAGAAGTCTTTCAATATAATCTTTTTGTGGCAGAGAAAAAGAATGTCTCTTCATGTGGGTACATGGTATTTGCATTTCAAAACGTTGCATTTACGACACAAAATCTTATGAACTCATGCTGAAACTGATCTTGTACAGATCTTTTCGGATGTTTTGAGCAGCATGCATAACAATGAACAAACACACAACTCCCTCCTGAAAGCCAACCAGCTATATCCATTAATCCCCCACCACCCTGTCAGTCCACCCTTTGAACCTAGGCTCATCTGGTTTACTAGAAGAAAATGTCATATGTTACTATAAATACCAAACTTCTAAGCTGGCAGCAGAATTAAATGTGTGCACTGTGTGTTAAATCAGGACTATGAAGCCAGCATTGTATGTTTCCTCTCCCTCCACTGCTACTTCTCCATTTGACAGGAACAACAAGGGGAGAAAAAAAGACTTGCATGAATGGAATGCATCTCTGGCATACCTAATGGCTAGGTTATGGGGTAACGGGGTCAAACATCTGGTCGTGTAAATGTAACTCAGCATTTTTTTTAAAGATTGAGACCATACATCCCAGGGGAGCCCAGAAATATGCTTTTCTCATCTACTTGCAGTAAAACACTCCAGGCAGTGCCGAAAACACTCACACACAGTGCATGCACCTTACATGAGAAACACTTGGGGGCAGCTCTTGGTCTAGTCATCACACAGGTAGATACCCTCTTACACTGTCTAGTGGTAACTGGAGGACAAGACAAGGAAATTAAATCGAGGTCACATGTCCTGTGGACCACACCAAGCATGTGCGCTGTGTGCACTTGTGCCCACACAATAATATACACAAATACTAGCACTTGTTCCAGGTGTTTTCCTGTCCCAATTCATTTGGAATTATTAAAAGCTAAATACAAAAACTAAAACCTGAAAGAAGCACCGCGTACATCAACTGACAAGTAACTAAAGTCAATTGTACTCGCAGATTGTAATGATTTGGTTTGTCCATGCGGTGACAACCTTTCTAGCAAAGTCCACGCTTCTAATATTATCGAGGACTTTAAAACATTTTATGCAAATGAGACGTAATTACAGATCCTTTAGGACATGTCAGCTGGTCAAGACAGCTATTTTCTTTGTAATTCCATATTCGTCAGCATGTATGTTTAAATGTAAATTTGTATTTGTACAAAACAAACAATGCTTTATGGATTTTTTTTAAAGAGTTAAAGATCCCTCAACAAAGAAAAACAAGGACCATCTCTTACAAAAGAAACAAAAAGACATTGGTCCAGTAAGTCCAATAGGATTCCTAGTGATAGTCGTAAAGCTACAGACTGTACGTGATTCTTTGCTATGTGACACAGAAAGATCTACCAATTATGTCACCATTTGACATGTACCGATGGCCGTCATGATGCTGAGCCATATATTAACTAAACTAAACTCAAAACTTTTTTACAACCTCCTGACATTTGACAGTTACACTTAATGAGCAAAGAATTCTGTGGAACATAAACAATGACAAATGAGTCTATTAGGTTCTAGTCTATTTTGTGAGGCAGAAGCTACATTAACATGTCATTCGAATCAGTAATCATCACCCTTGCTTCAGTAAATATAATAAAACAAACTGCATCAAGTTTTCCGTACAAAGACAATATGACCTACATATGCCAGCACAGCCATAGAACATACAGAACGTACCAGACAAAAACTTAAGCACAGACAAACTCACCCATTCCCTTTGTGTGGTTGAAGTCTCCTCTCACTATTTTGCAGGAATGTCCATCTCCATTACAAACACCACAGCGGTCCTCCTTGGCTAAAGAGCCAATGATGCCGTCACAGCCAATTTTCTGCCCACAACAAAAAACAATAAAGAACAGTAAAATGGAAGGCTTATGACTTGCCGTGGCAGTGCAAACTAACATTTACTGTGTGTGCGTGTGTCTGTATGAATATGTCTTTTTGTCCACATGAGCATCTGTTTTAAGACAACATTAATTAGTGTAAACTATAATTTAACAAAAATGTTGTATTTAGGATAAACCTTGTTGTAGAGTCATATGTAGTTTTTCTGCCCATCAGAAGGTGGAGTTAAACTCAAGGAAATGGGTGCTCCAGCCTCTGATTTGACTATTTTACACAGATATCAACCTGTCTCCGGAAATATACAATACAGGAAAAACTGATGTGTTGTAATGCTCAGTTATCAACAAATGAGACATATCCCATCCAGTGAGAGAAGGAGATGTTCAACTGATCCTTACCATTTCTGGCCCCTGAAGGTTTGAACTTACTCAGTAATGACAGAATTGCATAATAGTCTTCTGTTTAGTAATAAATAAGGAGATACAGAATCTACCTGGAATGTAACTCCAGTTTTATATGTGTGTAGGTCTCTATCATTCTATTGCATAGTACAGACAAGAATGTAAACACAGGTACTGGTAAACTGTGTATGAAAATTCAAAGGTTACTACAAGACACAAAACAGACTAATCATTCACAATCAATCGGGGTGTTGCAGTGTCACCCAGGTTGTACAAAGCATAGACTGAGCATGCAAGCATGTCATTTTAAAGTTTTTTGGCCCTAAAACCCTGAAAAGGTGCAGCTACCCTAGCTATAAAACTTCAGGTAAGGTAGAGTGAACAAAACCACCGCAGAGGAACTCAGATTCCAAAAGGCTACATCTGGGCTCATTATTGCATTAAAAATAATCTAGATAAGAC